TGACACAGATATTGTCTCCAGAAGAAACATCCATTTTTACTGACCATCATACTATCTCATTCGATTTCTCCGCATTTATCAAAAAACCAAGGAAGTCGGTCAGAACTGTATACGACTATACGAAAGGTGACATGGTTGGTCTTTGTGCTGCTTTACGTGAAATAGACTTATCTACAACCATTTTAGAATCGTGTGATGACATTAATACCGATTGGAAGCGTTGGAAGGACACTTTTCTTTCAATCCCTAAGAAGCAATTGAAAGGTAGAAATCCGTTACCATGGATCAACGGCGATATTCTCTATCAAATTAAGAAAAAAGACTCTATTCGACGAAGATTGAAAGCCACTCCTACTGCACATCTTCACGAGAAATACAAGAGAATGCGTTCTAAAGTTAAACGGTTACTTAGTGACAGCCGCGAGAATTTCTTCTCCTCGGTTAACAACAACTTTATTAACAATCCCAAGCGCTTTTGGTCTGTCCTTAAACATAAATCAAAAACTTGCAGCATCCCCGATTTCATTTCAATGCCTGCAGCACTCAACTCCTCCGATCAAATTCACATTAGACCTAGCGCCACGAGACCAGCTGAAATAGCCAATATGTTCAATACTTACTTTGCATCAGTATTTGCAACAGACAACTTATCTGATCAATCTGAAGAACTAAGTACTGACCCATTCATATCTGAAGTAATTGTAAACGAACTGGAAATTGAAACTTTACTTAAAACCCTCGATAGCAACAAAGCAACCGGTCCAGATGAAATTCCAGCCAGACTACTCAAAGTGACTGCCTCCATTATTGCTCCCTCTCTTTGTAAATTATTTAATAAATCATTACGTCTTGGCACGGTTCCAGAAGAATGGAAGCTAGCAAATGTTGTACCTGTATTTAAGAAAGGTGAAAAAGATCACTGCGAAAACTACAGACCGATCTCACTCTTATCGATTGTTTCGAAACAGCTAGAACGTTGTGTCCTTATGAACATCAAGTGCTATTTGTCCCAGATCATCTGCAAGTGTCAACACGGGTTCCTTCGAGGTAAATCATGAGTAACAAATCTTTTAGAGGCAATTGACTATATTGGCAGGATTCTGGACAATGGGGGACAGGTAGATACGATCTATCTCGATATGTCTAAAGCCTTTGATCGAATTAATCATACGAAATTAATTACTAAACTGAGAAATTACGGCTTCGGTGGAAATTTACTAAAGTGGTTTCAGTCATACTTATCGGATCGTTGTCAGCGTGTAACGGTACTTGGTTGTACCTCAAACACACTTCCTGTATCATCAGGTGTCCCGCAGGGCTCTATTCTTGGACCAGCGCTATTTTTGCTGTATGTCAACGATCTTCGTGATTCAGTAAAGACCAGCGAAGTAGCCATGTTTGCAGACGACACAAAGTTATTTTCATCTGTCAAATGTCAGGACGATGCTATGTTACTTCAAAGTGATCTTAGAAACTTAGAACACTGGTCATCTGTATCTGGTTTGACCTTCAATGAAAAGAAATGCAAGCAGCAACGAATAACGAGAAAGATTACACCAGTAACATCATCATATATGATAAACGATCACCAATTAAACACAACCGACACTGAAAGAGATCTTGGTGTATATATAGCATCAAACCTTACGTGGAAAACGCAAGTTCACCACCAGGCGTCAAAAGCAAACCAACTGTTAGGCTATATAAAAAGAAATACCATGTTCATCAAAAGTACTGCACCAAGACGAACATTGTATCTTGCACTGGTTCGATCTCATTTCGGGTATGCCTCCCAGATTTGGGCACCGCAGACGATTGAACTTATTGACATTTTAGAAAGAACTCAGAGACGGGCAGCAAAATATATTTTGAACTTGCCATTCTCGACAGACGTAGACTATAAAACAAGATTACAATCCTTGCATCTTCTTCCCGCATCCTACTGGCATGAATACCTAGACCTGATCCTCTTCTTCAAAATCGCACACGGTTTGGTGGAAATGTCTGCTCTTCCTGACATTCATATTATGCAAAGAACGACACGATCATCAGCAAGTAATAACGCTAAATATGTCGTCCGCAAATGTAAAACCAATACCTACCAGCAGTCGTTTTTTGTCAGAACGTGTCGAATATGGAACTCTCTCGTAGATGAACTAAATTATGACACGAACTGCTTCAATTCCTTTAGATCAGCCTTACTGGAATACTATCACAAATCTTTAGAAGTTAATTATAATCCTGATAATCCTCGAACATTTAAAACTATATGCCTGAAATGTAACTCTGTACGAAGTCTTACATATCCGATATCCTGCTGCTTTTAGTAACTAATATTGTTTGTTCGTAGGTTTGTTAGTCTGTCCAGTTGAATGTCTGTTGTTTGTTTGATTGTATCCAATTGGGCCCGCAGTAATTGGCAATAAGCTGTTGCGGTGTCCCGGCCACTCTGTGTAATTTTATGCCGGCAAAGTTAATAAATAAAAAAATAAATAAATGTGAGTTAGTATTGAAATAATATTGTATTTATTTTTAAAAACGTAGTTGAATCCCTTGATCATCGATTATTTCTTCTCTCGAAGTTCTGCAAACCTTTTAAACTGCTCGGACTCATTATACTTGACGTCACGAGAACAACCTACTTATGGAACACATTGTGCGAAAAAACCCTTCTAGTGTTTCATGTAAAAACATACGAAAAATCAATCGTTTATTGAATCTACTACATCAGTTGTGAAGATATGTCCAAAAAGACATAGAATCTGCAAAATATATTCGAAAACACAAATAAATTGTGAATTTTAAGGCATTTAGAAATGTCATCTAGCCGATGTTTCAACCCTTTAGTTTAATTCTCCCTTCTTTCGCCGCCTTCATCTTTTCGCGCCCGCGTCCTTACTTGTCAGCGATCATCTATACTTTGTGAAACGTCATGTAGAGTGATAGTATAATGACTCCAAGCAGTTTAAAATGTTTACAGAACTTCGAGAGAAGAAATCAATTATTTCAATCATAACTCATAGTGGGGCCCCCTGTGCCACAATGAGTAAAATTGTTTTAGACAAAGAAATATGATAAAGACATATTGCTAGTCAATCCTACCTTCTTTATCCTGAATCTTTGTCTTTACATTCTCAATAGTATCACTTGGTTCAACCTCAAGTGTGATAGTCTTGCCAGTCAGGGTCTTTACAAAGATCTGCATGGTGAGCTGAAAAATAACCAATAGCAACGTTTTAGGAACGTTACCTATCTGTGACTCAAACAATAGGGAAATTGCTATTGGCAGGGCAAAATACAATACACATGTGATGATGAAGGACAAGATTTATGAATATATGTTGACTAACATAGATAATGAGTTTTAGTATTTTTGCACAAGTGAATATAACAAATCCTACAAGTTGATTGGTCAAATTTGACTTATTAAGCTGTTATATTCACCTACATAACAAAACCGAAATTTTCAAAAATTATGGCGGCTAGCTGTTCTGTGGAAGTTACTGATAAAGAAATAAGCAAAATTAAAATCAGTCCCAAAAAACACAAAAGACTTGTGTAAAAATACTAAAACAATTATTCACCTCAGGCTCGGTGATTATTGGGGAATATTCACCTCGACTTCGTCTCGACAAATATTCCCCGATAATCACCTTGCCTTCGGCGAATAATTGTTAACTTCCATTCGATAGGCTATGGATTAGTTGATAATAGTTTGATATTGTAGAGGTCAATAGGTATAGGACGGTAGTCACATTTCTGAACCAGGGTCGAAGGCTAGAAAGTTTCTGTAAAATTTGCAATATATGTTACAATTACAAAAATAACAAAACAAATGCATAGTTATTGTATTATTTGTACTTTAGTAATAATAGGCTTTAGGCTGGTTTTCATATGCTTGTACATGGCAATAGTTGTCTCAGTATATATATACCACAGTTATGAGTTATGACCAACTAGTAGGGATCTAACACTTAACTAAGTGTCCTATCATCTTATTTATTCCATCACTTTTATTTGTTTACTATTTAATTTGCATTTTATTGGAGACTTTGCAGAGCATATATTTACCATTTTACCTCATTGTGATGGCAGGGGTGGGTAAAAGAATTAATTTTTGTTAAATATTTAGGCTGCTGATATTAGCCTGCATGTATACAGTGTAAATAAAGCAGAATAGTTGTAACTTGCAAGTTGAGTAAACAGAGTTATCTCAAAATGTTGACATATTTTCTGGAAAATTTTCCTTTTCCACCCCTGGCAAGAGGAAGCAATGGGAGTTTTGGTAATATAACAAAAAAACAATACTTCATTAGAAACTTGTCTGTGGTGGGCATATACATTGGGGGGCATCTATATTTGTAATGGTTTGAGCATTAATGCTGTTTTCCACTTCAAGCATACCATACTTAAAAATTCCAAATTTAGTGCATGTTCGTACTTCCGAAGTATGCCAATTTTTTCATTTCGTGATGCGAATACACATGCGGATGTACATGAATTTATCAGCCTATTTTCAATCTACGAATGCTCACCAGTACGTTTCGGTATTATACGGCAGAAGTAGAAAACGGCCTTTATTGAATACAGTAAGCTTATGCACAGGGGCCTCTATTTGAGGGGCTTATATTTTGAAGGTTTCAGTGTTAGTAAATACCAGTGTGGAAAGTTTGTATTGCGTGGCGATAAATATCGGCCGCGCAATTTTGATGTTTTCAGGGCTCGAAATAACGTTCGCAACGTTCCCGATCATGGTGATCGGCAACGAAGACTTTTTGCCGATCAAATAAAAATCTGGCCGATCAGGAGCATTTACCCAAGTCATTTCCTTCAAAAAATTCTAAATATGCCAGTGCGCATTGAATACACATTTGAAATTTAACTTTATTTCAAATTGAAGTTTAAATCTATGACATTTGTGGACTTATATATACACTACTAATAGTGTAACTATATTTAACTAGTGCTTAATAAACTTTATTTTATTATAACACTTCAGTTTAACACACAGTTTTAATTATACCATTGCATTTTTTCACACAAAAGCAAGAAACACAGCAGCATTATCAATTAAGAACTAAAACTTATTATTTTATATTAAAAGAGAAAATCTTACTAAAAATAAAAAATCCTACTCAAAAAATCCTATCAATTTGAAATTATTATACAAAGATACGTTCGTCGTCAGCGGTTCGGATTGCAGACTGTACTGTTGAAAAGACGACAATATTTCGTGTAAATTTGTTTTAATAAAAGTAAATTAATTACTTTAGAGCGAGAACAGTATTGCTGCCTTCCCTGTCGTATGACTCGTATCAACTATACAAGAGCTTTTCGCGTGTTTTTAAATGTGTTTTATGTTTACTTTAATTTGTCTTTTACCGTGTACAGGTAAGCATGTCTTTTAGACAATGCTCAAATATATTTCTTGCCGATCAAGGTGAACGGCAACATTGATTCTTCACCGATCAAAAACAATTTCCTGCCGATCATTGATCGTTGATCGGCCGTTATTTCGAGCCCTGTGTTTTCTATATATTTACTATTAAATTTTCGAAATCTCTGGCGTCCAGTCAGGAGTGAATATGGTGGGCTTATACATGGGGGAGGGTTATGCATGAGTCAATTCCTGGAGTAACCATCCCCCCCCCCCGCCTGGGAATTTGCCCGATAGACAGTTCACGGGGGTCGGGAATTTGCCTTTCATATATGTGCACAGGGGCCGGGTATTGGAGGACCCCGGGGATTTGACAAATGGTTGACCAAAATTCCATCCACAAATTTTAAGGCAGCAAAACCTAGTTTCAGGCACGCATGTGGGCGCGCTGATCGTATTTTGCGCCCTCGTGGTCAAGGTGGCGTGAAATTTATTGTAACTTGTAAGAATAAGTGAAAATTATAACCTGTGCCATGCAAATTTAAATACAACTATTAAAGGTTTATGTTTTATAATATTCCATAGCAGTTGAATACTATGTTATTAAATGACTATGATTATATGCCATTAAAAGTTTAATTAATGTTTACAGTCGATTTCACGAAACTTTGAACAAATTTTCCGAACTTCACAAGATTGTTGCGAAGTTCAAAAGTTCATAATGAGATTCACAAACCAGTTCGTAAACTACGCATTTGATTGGCTTCTTTTACTTCACGGACCAATCAGAGACTTTGTTTACAAATTGGCTTGTGAATTCCAATGAGCTTCCAAACTTGCAACGAAGTTCGGAACATTTGTGGTCAAAGTTTCTTGAAATTGACTGTAAAGTCGTCCCCGGGGTGGGGCATTTTCCACTCTCAGCTTGCCCAGGGGCCGTGCATTAGTCTTCAAGTTGTGTCCCGGCAACCGGGCATTTACACTATCATAACCAATCAAATCAAAATGCC